GTGGAGTCACCAGGGTGGTCGGCGGGGAATGTAGACAGCCACACACAAATGCTGACAGCATCCTTAGGGAAGAGAAAGAGCAATCTCAGGAAGTTTCCTGTTTCCAGAATATAAACTTAATAAAACACAAATTCTAAAAGGCAAGAATGCCATCATAAAAGGCCCACCCATTCTCTTGCCAGTCCCTTCCTACAGGAAAAAACACATGTGCAAGTGGAGGCCTCTTGATAATTAAGCAAGACTAGAAATTATGCAAATGAAATACATTCAAGTATGCAATGAATTTTAAATGACAGAACTACAGAAGACTTAATTGCTGTATTAGCATGCTATAAAAACACTAATCATAAATGTAAAACAATGCATGCAGATACTTAAATCCAAACTGTCCTGGTGACACAAAAATCAATGTGTTCCCTCCCACTGTGTTCATATGCAAACCGACCGCAACACACTGAAAGGAGATACACTGATACTGGAGCCTCATTGTCATTTTTAGCCAATATACTCTCTAGCATAAATGTTCAATGTTTAATTAGTTTTTGTTCACTTTCTGAAATAGTTACTTTAAAAAAAAAAAGAGCCAAAAATATGATTCTCTTCAGGATCAATTTTGAAAAAGGTCCTATGCTGCTTTATGTAATGTAAAAGTAAAATATTATCACTGCTGTTTAATGGGTGCTCTGGCTCAGCACTCTGCTACTTCTTCAGAACAAGAGCCACACACCCAGACTTCCCTAGAGCAGAATTTCCTCTCATTAATTAAAGTAACACTTGTCCATGAACACTAGACTTGTGCTAATGACAAACCATGTACATGATGGAGAAAGGTCACTATGTGCCAGACCTTGAACTCGTCCCTACTCACCCACCACCCAGGCCAGCCTCCTAGTTCAAGTGTCTCAGGTCCACTGGGCAACTGCCCTTATTGGGGCAGTTTCAGAGACCAACTTCCCAACTGGTTCATGAGCATCCTGGTCCTGTCTTCCACACTGCTTTGAGCCCTATAACATTGGGGTCCAACCTGGATGTACTACCGAGCCTGGGCATCAGCATTGCCCTGTGACAGTGAACCACAACCAGGTCAGGAGTCCATACCTCTGACCATGTCCTCCTCCTGCCGTCTACAGTCAGGTACTCCATGGACACTCTGACTCACAGGATACCAGGTTCAATGCATATGTGATACCTTTGTCCAACCTGGATTGTTCAAATGCTCAGAAAAGTCACTGCCCGTGTGGGGAGGTTTGAATAGGTATGACCCCCAAAGACTCATGTGTTTGAATGCTTGGCCCATAGGGAGAGGCACTATTAAGAGGTGTGGCCTTGTCAGAGTAGGTGTGGCCTTGTTGGAGGAGTGTGTCACTAGGGGAGCGGGCTCTGAGATCTCCTATGCTCAAGCAATGCAGTACTGACAGCGGCTTCTGCAGTACCACGTCTGCCTGCACTTCCATGTCCCACCATGACGATAATGGACTAAACCTCTCCAACTGTATGCCAGCCCCTATTAAATGTTTTCCTTTCTAAGCATTACCATGGTCATGGCATCTCTTCATAGCAATAGAAACCATGTCTATGCCCTGCAGGAAAGCCAGTCTCTCTGCCTGCTCTAGTGACCAGACTCCCTCCGTACACATGTAGCCTTGACCACTGACTCCTTCCCAGCCCTTCCCAACTGACCCTGCCTCAACTTGAACACCTCCCAGCTTCCCTGATGCCCTGGAAGGCACCTCATCACCACCAGACACTGCAGAACTATTTGGTGACAGTCACCTGCTCATTCTCTGGGAGAACACAACTCAGCTTCTAAGGAAATCTGAGTAGGCCTTGTCCTACACTCAGCGAGCATTCAACTAAGGAACAAATGAGGCACAGGAACGGGGTCCCAGGGAAATGGCTCCTTTTCTGTGCAGTCAGCCTCAGGCCTGTGCTGTATAGTAACAGAAGGATGAGCATTCTCTCTGTGCTGTGCAGAACCTAGGAGAGCTGGGATATAATCTCAGGCTTACCCTGACCTTTTTCAGCGCCAAACACAGTGCTTGAGACAGAGTTTAATTGGTCTCCAGAAAATAACTAGATGGACTCACCAATGACTTTCCAGATTATTTCTTGTGGAATATTAATTTAAGACATGCTATATCTGTTTGTGCTGTGGAGCATTTGTCTAATGATGCAATGATGTGATGCGTTCTTACATGTTGCATATTTTTAACTCCGTGAAGCTGTTGCTTCGCCTGCCCAAAACACGTGATTGTTCTAATAAAGAGCTGAATGGCCAATATTGAGGCAGGAGAGGATAGGTAGGACTGTCAGACAGAGAGAATAAACAGAAGGAAAGAAAAAAAAGAAGGAAGAGAGGGAAAAGGAGGAGAAAAGGCATCAGGAGCCAGATACACAGCAAGCCATGAAATAAGAAGAGAAGAAAGGTATATAGACTAGAGAAAGGTAAAAAGCCCTGAGACAAAAGGTAGATAGAATAATTTAAGAAAAACTGGCTAGAAATAAGCCAAGCTAAGGCCAGGCATTCATAAGAAAGAATGAGTCCCAGTGTGATTATCTGGAAGCTGGGTGGCAGGCTCCCCAAAGAGTAAAGAGCAAAGAGTAAAATAATACAACTACAGTTATTCTCCTTCCAGAAACAGCTGCACACCCCAGCTCAAGTCCTTCAGGATAAGGGCCATGTTACCTCAGTGTCAACTATACACATGGTCTCCTGATCCCTGGCCCTCCTCCCTGACTTCCTACAGAGGCCTAACGGGAGCACTTGCCTAGTCTATGATGCTAACCTGCCACACCCCTAATGCACCTGTTAGCCTTATGGCCTTCCCAACTCCGTCATCCAAGTAATACTGACATCCTCCAGAGGTGCTGAATGAACATGCATCCATGCCAACGACCCTTGCCTGGCATCTCCACTATTTATACTCCCCTGAAACTACCCCTTGGCAAAGCACAGTTCTGCTCACTAAGCTGGTGTTTACCTTCTCATCTTTCAATTCAGGTCTAGCCCTCCTGCCCTAGCTCTCCTGCCCTCCTTGTGCACTTGTGATGCCTTAGAAACACAGAGTAAAGCCTCCCCCTTTCAAAACCAACCCTAGAACCTGCCTAGAAACAGTAAAGGCTATAGAGACTCTGGGGTGGCTTGAAGGAAAATAGCTCTCAAAGGGAGTGGCATTATAAGGAGGCATCCCAACCCTCCTCTTGGCTGACACTCAAGCCCTGAATACCTCACAGGTATACTATGCCAAACTGTGCTGGACTTATCCTGCTGCATGTTTGAGCCCCTGACCTCTTCCTAGAGGCATCTGGGTCTGTCTTAGTTAGGGTTTTCATTGCTATGAAGAAGAGACATCATGACTATGGTAACTCTTAAAAGGAAAACATTAAATTGAGGAGACTCACTTATAGTTTCAGAGGTTCAATTCATTATCATCATGGTGGGGAACATAGTGGTGTGCAGGCAGACATGGTGCTGAAGCTGAGAGCCTCAGCTTGCAGGCAACAGGAAGTCAACTGAATAGTCAAACTGAGAGAAGCTTGAGCAAAACAGACTACAAAGCCCACTCCCACAGTGACACACTTCCTCCAACAAGGCCACACCTCCCAATAATGCCACTCCCTTTGAGAGCTATTTTCTTTCAAGCCACCCCAGAGTCTCTATAGCCTTTACTGTTTCTAGGCAGGTCCCTACAGGTTTTCTTTGGTTTACACTGCCAGAACTCCTATGTACCTACTCCCAGGTCTACACCAACAGGGTGGAGCTGCCCACCACTCACCCCACCCCAACCCATGTTGTTCCTCTGATGCTCTGTATTATTGACACAGCAACCACTATGCAGTTAGGCAATTCAAGGCAGTGCGGCTATGACTTGCACAGGAGCAGAAGTGAAGGAAAGAGCAGGAGCAAGAGCCTCTCATGAAACTTTTCACCTAGACCAGTCCATGCTTGATGAACGCAAGACCATGACATGGGGTCTTCCAGGCATTTACATCTTTGCCTCCTACAAACCAATCACGAGTGTATAACCTCTCTTACAGGGCATTTAGAAATGTGGTTATAAACACTTAAAAACCACAAGAGAGAGTACAAGGGAACACAGCGGGTCTAGCCTTAATTGCAAGAGATATTTAATCAATAAATATTTGCTGTTCAGAGCTGCATCTGCATTTAGGATTACAAGGTGATAAACTGAAAATTTATTGTGACTCATTAGCACAAAAGTCTCTTAAATACTAAAAGTCAGACTCAATTTAGAGTAGGGGCCTAGAGTTCCCCATGACTGATCTTCAAAAATTAAAACGAAAGTAAAAGAGAAGAAAATAGTCAATAAAGTATGTTCGCTTCCAATCTTAAGCCAGGGTTAAGTAGGTGAGGGCATGAAAACAGCCACTGACAACCACTGAACTTTTCCAGAAGGACATTTGGATTGGCAGCTTGGATCTGGGCACTGGCACCTACTCTCCATCACAAAGACTATTTCCAAAATCTCCTGCCCCACACCTCCTTGTCCTCTTCCTTTTCCTGTCCTTCCTCCTTCTTCCTCTTCCTCCTCAGCTTCTTTCCTCTCTTCTTCCTCTTTCTTCTCTTCTTGTTCTTTCTCCTCTTTCTTTGTTCTCCTCCTCTTGTTCTTATTCAATAACAGCATTACCAACACTTCTTTGTTCACACATACCCATTTTCTCTGAGCTGTGTGTTCTTCTGTGCTCTAAGATCCTAAGTCACAAGTCTGCATACAGTGATTCTTTACTGGTGGAAGTTGGAGTGAACTAACACAGCTGTCACGAGCTGTTGCTTGTCCTCACTTTCTGCCAGACTTGCCAAACCAACCTTGAAATTAAACAAAAACTAGACAATGCCATTTCAGCCACAGCAAAGTCCTATGTCATTATGCAGCCAAGACAGACAAGTTGGCCAGCAAGCCATGCTCCTCCAGCCAGGTACCAGGCCACAGTACATGCAGGAGGACATGGCTAGGCTGACCACTGACATACAGACTTACTGAGAGAAGCTTCCATGTGATTGGACGAACTGGCTTTGGGATTCCAGACCAACTCAGCTTCCGTAATTCCTCTATTGGAAGAAAAAAAGAAAAACAGAACAGAGAAAATCAAGGTCACAAGTGGCTCTAAAGCATCATACCATATCCCATCAATGTCCCTGGGGGCCAGAGAGCCCTACAAATGGAACCAAAGTAAGCCTAAAGTATAAGCATTTCAGAGAGTGACTGTCCTCAATGAGTTACCACTCTACTAAAGCAAAACAGAGCATTGTCTGTCTTTGTATGTCTTAGATAAGGCATGTCTATCAAAGGCAGCCAGGTATCTCTGATGCCACCTTGGGACAGGGAGGCCCTTCCTCCCTGAAGCAGTAGCATCCAGGGTACCAGCTTCCTCCCCTCCCACTATCTATGTGTCCCCTTGAACTCACAAAGCTAAGTCTCCATTTGGAAAACTTAGCTGACTCTCTTCTCCCTCCCACTCCATCCCACTCGCTGCTTCTTAATGCCCATTCAAGACGTCTTCTCAGCACGTTTCTGGGAGGTGAATTTGTCTTTACACAGCATTGACAAAGGTGAGCCACACGATACACAGCTAGGATAAGAGGGCTTCACAGTGGACAAACACAAGACCTGGATGTCTTTACAAATACCACCAAGGAGCAGAACCAGAGAAGGACTGACCAAAGAGAGAGGGGCCTGCAGCCAAGGCGGTGAGTATATGACACAGTAGGGAAGGACAGTGGGCCCTGGTTCTGTCTCTGATCTCCTAAGTGGCTAGAGGGCTCATGTAGGTACGCAGGGACATCCATGCACTCCAGCTCCAGCAAGACAAAGCCAATTGCTTCCTTTGCTTCCATTAGAATCTACTACTAGACTCTTCCAACAGCTCAGAGCTCATGATTAATGCCAGGAATAAGAGAAGTGATTACAGAGAAGACTTTGGTAATATAATCAACAAAATGCAAAGTCCTGACATCTAATCTTTTTCCAATTACTAAAGTCTAAGTAAAATAAGTAGAGAGTAATTGGGTGACTGCAACAGCAATAACCTGCATTCACAAAGGCCTCAGAAAACATCAAATCTCCCCGCATCTCCCCATGGATGCCATGAAGAACGGGGGCCTAATATCCGAATGCTGATAACCGTGTTTGCTAACCAGGCTCACAGTATCTCTCCCTCCTTGCAGCGCTGGTCTCTGGCTGAGGTTTATGAAGAAAGCACTGAGAAAACACACTTGGTTAATGTTCTCTGACCCCATCTCCACATTAAAAAAAAAAAAGTTCCAAGTCAGGAATCATGAATATACAGGGTGAGATAAAGTTCTCGTTTTGTCAAAGCCCAGTGTTTAAAAGGAGCTTTGCATACATTGTCTCGCTGGCTCCTCAAAGCAGCTTGGATTAATCAGGCCTATGAGCCCTGTCCACGTATGAGAACTGGTTTCACAGAGGTTAAGTAACTTGCCCTTTAATACCAGGTTCTTTTCACTGTATTAACTCCTATTCTTAAAGACTTTGTAGCACAGTCAAATACCACTTATAAATACAGACAGAGATCCCAAAGAAAGTCTTAACAGGCACAAACACAGTAATGTATCTGAAGAATAACATCTATCACCAGATTCACCCACGGGTGCAGGGATGGGTGTGAAGAAGGTACTACTGGGAGAGAGCCACACTCTGTGATGACAGATGTCCCAAACATACTTTCCTTCCCTAGCAGAATGCCACCTGAGCAAAGTACCCGTAATTCCCGAGAGCAACAATGAAATGCTAAGGTGTGGTGAGCAGCCAGTCAAGCAGACCCCACTCAGATGAAGCAGAGCTAAGCCCCCTCCCCATGGTCAATGTGCAATGGAGCTGGGGTTCCATCTTAGACACTGGGAGAATAGCACAACAGCTCAGAACGCCAAGAAAGTCTCACTCTTGGGGAATCCTTGTCTTTCTCTCTCTGACAGTGTGCTAGTTAGACATGAGACTAAGGATCATTATAAGCACCAACCAGCGCAGCCTACAGCCAGCTAAAGAAGAGAAAGCAAGAACCAGGCAGGAGATGCGGGTCCATACTAAGCAGGATGGGCAGTGCACAAACTTGCCTGAACCAATAGCTTTTCCCTGTGTAATAGGGAAGTAAAAACTGTGAAGAATGTGAGCCTAAAAACTGTGCAGGCCAGGTGAGGAAACTAACTGGCAGGCTTCCCTCAGAGATGAGCATGGAGAGAGGGAGGTACCATGTTCAGCAAGGTTTAAGGTATAGTTCCTCTGGGCTAGGCAGGCAGCCAGAGGTAAAGAAATCATGGCCAAGAGCAAGAGCAAATGTGGCCTCCATGCCCAGCACTGGGAAGGGCTCACCTCCCAGCCAAAGCAAACATCAAGCCATAACCACTCAAAAGAAAGGCCTAGAAGAGCTACAAAACTAAACGGGGAATGTTACATCCAGAGATCAGGCCAGTTCCTTAGAGAACAGGACAACTGACAAAAGTTGCGTCAACAAGAGTAGTATTCTAAACCACATCAGCTCATGCGAGCCTGACCTTGTATGGACAACAGGCTGCAGGACCAAGAGTGGACACAAGGAGACTGAGGAAGCTCAGCCTACAGGGCAGCAAGAAAGAAAAGCAAGGACCAGAGAGAGAGAGAGAGAGAGAGATGCTAAATAAGAACAAGACAAGTCAAACCAGGTTGGGTAGATAAGTGAGTTTCAGACTGAAAAATAGTATCAATTGTCACCAAAAAAAAAAAAAAAAAGGTAATTTTAACACAAAGAGAATTAAAATTGCAATGGGCTCTGCTGGATATATCCAAAAATTTTGCAAGCTCATCTAGAAGAGCAAGGCTCTAAGAGAGCCAATAAAACTCTCAAAAAGAATAATGTGGGGCTAGGAGATGGCTGTCTATAAAGTGATTGCCACACAAGTCTCAGGACCCGAATTCCAATCCAACCACCTATGTACCTATATAGTAGCATGCACTGGATTCCCAGCATGCTGGCCAGGAGTACTAGCCAGGAGGATCCCTGGGCCTGAGCCTTTGAGGAAAAAAATATGACATCGACCTATGGCCTCTATGCACACATGTACAGCCATGCAAGACATGCATACCACACACCACACAATAAATAAAATAAAGAATGTGGAGCTAGAGAGATTGCTCAGCAGTTAATATTGCTCCTCCAGAGGAGTCAAGTTCATTTCCCAATATCCACATCAAGTGGCTCACAACCATCTGGAACTTCAGCTCCAGAGAATCTGATGCCTCTGGTCCCTCTGGCCACCAGCACTCACATGTGCAAACACACATGCAGACAGATACCTACACATAATTTAAAATGATAAAAATAAGTCTTTAAAAATAAAATCTTCTTAAAAGCTAAAGCTTGTGAAGAGATTTGCAGCAATAGTTAACAACATCTATGACAGAATTACAGACATGAAGATAGGACCTTCTGTGAGAGACAAAGGGAAGAGACCCGCAAGGCAGGAATAATGGTTCAAATCAAATCTGCAAACACAAGAACAACGAGATGTGATAAAACGATAAGACGACATTCACACAACCCTGCCCCCGTTTCTAGATGAGACTGTGTGTCTTACCAGAAAACTAAGTCCGAATGATAACAAATCTGAATGAGGGCAGCCTGGCTGTCTCTGTGTGTAAAAGGAAAGACTAAAGCACAAGACGAAAACAGGATCTTCTGCTATACTGTATGGGGAAAGGCCTTCCAAAACATGACTCTCAGAAACTACAAATAAAAGGATTAATAAACTAAGTGTACAAGTTGGGATGTAACTATACAGTGTAAAGAAATCAATTACTCAAACAGCGGGAGGCAGGCTTGACAGTTTCGTGCAGCGTATAAAAAGTCTCACACCACTCATACCTAAAGAGCATATACACAAGTTAAAAGACGAACTGCCCACAGAAAACATGAAGATTCCCACAACACATGGCAGTGGCTACATAAAAGCAAGGTAGAAAATCTGTGATGTGACCAAAGCACTACACATTTAAATAAGAAATCCCCTAAAATAAGGTTGGACTAAATTGTAAATGAACCACGACACCCAATATTGAAAAGACTGGGCACAGAACTGCTCTCTGACAGTTTGCTGTGAGTACAGACTGGGGTAATTTTTACTAGATCCGATTTTTTAAAACCTCTGAACAGCCACTTTACTGAGGAAGCCTATGGTTTTGTTTCCAAGACCAGATAAGGGCTATGCCCGAGGACTTCATAGCAGAGAGCGCTATGAGCAAACCACCAGGAGCAAGCAATGTGTCCATTGGTAGAGACTGAACTCTGCACCGAGGAACACAAACTGCCACCAGGAAGACCAGATCCCTGTTTGTGTGGACACGGAATAAGCCCACCTAAGCAGATGTGAAGGACAGAACAGAGCACCGCACAGCTGGTGTTGGGAGGGCTGGGGCACTAGTCAGGCCAGTAGAAGACTCCCATTATAGAGAAGCCCCACCAGTCTCTGCAGAATAGCAAGATTCTGCAGCTCAGGCACCCCCATCCCCAGCCTTTTACAATTAACACACATTCACTACACAACATGGTTTGTTTTTATGTTCTCATTAAGTACTTCATGGTCTTGACCACAGTACCCCTACATTGCCCTCTTCTGACCTTGCTCCCTCCCTGGTGGTCTCCCTTATCTTCCCCCAAATTGCTCTTTCTTAGAAACATTCACGCTGATCAGACTCCACTGTGGGTCCATCCTAAGTTTTCTGTATCATTCATCGATGGGCATCTAGGGTACTGTGAACAGGGCTACAGTGGACATGGACTTGCAGTTATCTGTGGTAAGCTGATGTAGATGCCTTCAGGTTCATACTCAGGTATGGCTGGGCAACATGCTAGTTCTACCTTTAATTTTTGGAGGAATTTCCATACTGATCCACAGGGGCTGTATTAATTTACATTCACACCAGCCGTATGTGAGGCAAACTGCAGCTATCCAGGCCCAGCCAAGTCCTGTCAGATCTACAACTCCTGACAGTGTCCAGCACCACTCACTTCCCTCCTCTGTGGAGACAACCTGACTCCGTAGGGCAGTCAGTGTCCTGA